ATGTAGTGAAAACCTCCCTATATATTGAGAAGACCGATTACAGGGGTCCGGCATGACCAGGTGGTTAGAGTGCTCGACTCGCAATCTGCGGGTTCGAATCCCCATCACACCAAACATGCTCGCCCTTTCAGCCGTGGGGGCGTTATAATGTGACGTTCAATCTCACAATTCGTTGTTAAAAGAGTTAGCGGTAGGTGATGATGACTAGCTGCCTTCCCTGTAAATTAGGGACGGCTAGCGCAGATAACCCTCGTGTAGCTTTGCACGAAATTCAAAACAACCAGCCAACCGATTGTAGTAGGTAATAAATTACTAAAAATTTAAGTGACTTTTTTGGACATATTGTTAAACCTTTTTTTTTTATCTCATATTCCGAGTCTTATTAGGGGCGATTTTGGATTTGTTGAAAAATTGCCAAAAAATTAGAAGAAAATCAGTTTTGTTTCTTTTTACGTGGTAGACGTGGACTTAAAGCTGTGGAAGGTTTTCTAGATAAATGCTAAGAATTAATTCATCTCAGGTTTAATAAAGGTTTTATCTTAAAAGATTTAGATATTGTATTAAAAATGTTTTTTTTTTTTACTTATGAGGAACAAATCTTTCATCATATTTTTGGTAGCGCAATGGGCACAAAATTGTTCCAATTTATGCTAATATCACTATGGGATATTTCTAATTACAGTTATCAAATATACTACCTAATAATTTTAAAGAGAATTTTTTAGTTCACGCAAAAACGTTTTGGAATAGATTTTTGAACGATTCCTTTGTAATATGGGAAGATACTAACGATATTAGAAAGTTTGTTGGAATGTTAAATTCAATATACAAGAAAATCAACCTGCTTTTTGAAAGAAATAATAAAGTCTTGTCCTTTTTGAAAGTATTGGTAAGTGTTTCGACAAAAATGAAATTCTTACATTTTTTACAAACCCACAAACTTGCATCAATATGTATATATTTTTTTGTCATCATCCAAAACATATAAAATTGAATATTCCTGTAAATCTTGCCTTTTGATTATATCGCTTGGTTTTTAATGAAGAAACAAGAGTTAACAGATAATTAGAAATAAATAAAAAATTCTTAGTTCGGTGTCACTATTTAGAAAAACTATATTAAGAGGTTTTGAAATTGCTAAGAGTAACTTTTTAATAAAAACATTTAAACAGAGATTAGTAAACTTAAACAGAATATTATACGTTATATTGTGGCTTTTTGTCCAAATATACATATTGATATTTCATTTGTTAATACCCAGTCAAAACAAACGGTAGATATAAAAAAAAAAAACTGAAAGATGTATTAAAACACAATAAAATTATTTAATCAAGAAGACAACCTAATTTTTTTTATAGATTATTGAATACACCTAAAAAAATATTATTTTAAACAAGGTATTTTCAGCTGTGAAAGAAAGAACTGTGCTTTATTTAATTTAGGTAACATGAAAACTACCAAAACAATAAAGAACAATAATAAAGAAATTTTGTATCTCGATAATAGCTCATTTAATTACAATTCTGAAAACGTGACATATCTTTTAGAATGTGTAAACTGTGCTGAATGATATATTCGTGAAACGATGAATTTAAGAATAAGGATAAATTTACATAGATTACATGTCACGAAAAAAAAAAAACTCTCTATATGACAGCAAACATTTTAATTAAAATTCCAAAAGAACCATATTTTCATATTTTGCCACTTGGGATATGTGATATAAAACACAAAAGATTATTTTTCGAAAAATACTTTATACATTTTTTGGCACAAGTGTTAAATAGATAGAAGTGAGAGGGCGGAAGTAACTGGTTTTGTAAAGTCAGTAGGAATTACGAAACCGTGAAAACTGTTACTAAGACTTACAGAAAAGACAAAGTAAGAAAGAGGTGTGAAATTATGGAAAATAAATAAATTGCATTTCTATAATAATAATAATAATAGAGAATGTAATAAAAATAAGATTTTAATTTAAAAAGGAAAGTATACTGAATAAATTCTGAATAATTTTATTCGTTTTTGAGCATCTTAATGTACTTAATTTATACATGGTGTATATTATGTTTGTACACTTAGAAAATATGTGTGTTTGATTTAGATTATTTATGTTTAGTTGAAAAACGGTATCTAAATGTTTTTGTTATAGATTCTCAGTAACATTAAGTACTGAAGACTGACCTTTGAAGTCACTATACCGGTTCAAGAAATTAATAAAGGAGGGGAAAAAATAGAAAAGATATGGACTTGGTTGCATTTCACAACGCCCATGTTGGATAGGCTTACTATATCATAAGTTTATGAAATTATGTAGCAGTGAAGATCTTGTTGCAGCACTTGTAACATTGTATTACTCGTCAAAGTATCAATAAGAACAAACAAAGTATGTTTATTTCGTTATTATGTCGCAGGCGAATCCTATTTTTATACAAGTGGCTCAATCGAATTCTTAATATTTTGAAGAACTTGTAAGTTGAAAATGTTAATACCCATATGTGGATTACCCCAAAATAGACATCTAATATAAACAGTTTATTTCCCCAAAATAGTCATCTAATATAAACAGTTTATTACCCCAAAATAGACATCTAATATAAACAGTTTATGTCAATTTTCTTCACTCAAAAAGCGCTCCTTATATGCGAGAATGTTTTATTTCCCCTAACTTGCTCCTATATCTATATTTGCTATTTTAAATAAATTCGATTAAATTCGTACTTTGAATCTGTTATTTGGCACACTAGGGTATAATAGTAACGATTGATATATTTTATCTGGTAGTTCAAAGCCCCACCTTTTTTGTAACCTCGTCAACTTGTTATAACAAATTCGATAGCCTAAGTTGCATAAAAGTTTATTCTTAAACATAATATAAACTGAGAAAATTACTGATCCATTTAAACATTGTGTTAAGCGTCGGAAAGTAATTTGTTTCCTGTGGTTTTCTGATCTACTAACATGAAGTGGTACTGAAAAATATTATCGAGCATATTAATAACTAGTTTATGACGTATATATAAAACTTGTGTTGTAAACAATTACACTATATGAATGCCAAAATCTCAAATTTCAACTTCAGCCTCTTATCTACATCACGAGCGGGGTGAGGAGACTCTAATAGATCTTATACCGAAACAATCGTCACGAATGAACGATACGCTACATTAGTAAGCTAGTCGGTCAGAGATGGCGATGGGATCTTATCATCATTTACATTCGTAGTTGTGGTTTATTTTTAACATTAGTTAAGTTAATTGAATCTTAAGAGATTCTGAGTATGAGTGAGTTATTATGTTCATATCAAGTTTAGGCTCAAGAACTATTTGAAACATTCGGGTATCAACGCCATCTCTTGGTCACTGTTGACGAATCAAAAGTTTACGAAAGTGGTTGGCAGCAAGCGCCATGGAATAAATAGGGAATTGCTGGATTGAAATGACGTTAACAATTCTACAGTTAACAACTCATCTACGTATGTGCATAACTCGTCGCTTCACGAACGTGTAAAGATATCAAAAGATTTAAGATGAAACATTTTTATGAAGCAACCTTAGAGATTGACGTAACTAAGTTCTTTAATTAATATCGCATGGCCAGGAGGTTAGGGCGCTCGACTCGCAATCTGAGGATCGCGGGTTCAAATCCCCATCCCACCAAACATGTTTACCCTATCAGCCATGGGGGCGTTATAATGTGACGGTCAATCCCACTATTCATTGGTAAAACAGTGGCCCAAGAGCTGGCGGTGGGTGGTGATGACTAGCTGTCTTCCCTCTAGTCTTACACTGCTAAATTAGAGACGGCTAGCGCAGACAGCCCTCGTGTAGCTTTGCGCGAAATTCAAAACAAACAAACTATTCCTCACAACATGTTTATTTCTTTTCTGTACTCGTGAGTGAAATTGGACCTGTTGTTTTCATGCACTTACGATGATTGCAAACTAGTAATTAAAATCTGCATTCGTAGATAATGCTAGGTTTAAGTAAAACACTATTCCTGTTATTTAAAAAGTTATATAAATGTACACAAATGTATATAATAAATGTAAATGTATATAAGTATTTAAAAATTAAGTTAGTGTTTTATTTGTTGCTGGCAAAGATCTTGCGTAAATATTCTGCTCCTTGATTTATACCTTTATTCTACGTTTCCAGGAAGAATTAGATCTGACAGCAGCTAAAAAGGAAATCATGTTCAGCTTACCACCGGAAAAGAAATGGCAGCTTTACTTAAGCAAGAAAACGGTAGGAGTAATTACATCATAAATTACATCTATTTAAGTGCAGTTTGGGATTTATTCTAGTTTCGATAATTACAATAAAACTATTAAGGAAACTATCTATTAATTTCCTACTTAATCGTAATGTGATTTCGAATAGAAAAATCAACGCTTGTCTGTGGGAAAACTTTTCTTGGCGGCGCATCTTCAACGAAAAATTATGATTATACTTTTAATTCATTCACACACACTTTGATTTTTCAGTCTTAGCTTAGTACGAGATTAGTAACCTATAATATCACACCTAAGTGTTTTATTGTAGTGGAATCATTCTGGCTATTATCGTTGTTTTATGCACAACTTTAAAAACAACGGACAAAACATTTATGAAATCTTGGTACTTTTAGTTAATCGGCCTACTACTGTGTGCGTAGAATAATTCTGATCATATTTCTCATGAAAGTTGAAAATTACAGCTGGCTTGAGCCAAAACTTCTAAGTTATTATAGTCTAATTATAGAAAGTCAATTATAAATGTAAATATTTTTATTTCCAATTTTAGGAACAACAAGAGTCGTCATCGGCTCATTTTTCTGATTATTATGTGGAAAGGGTGAATTCCATGTCAATGGTGAGTTTCATACATAAATCCCATGTCAATGGTGAGTTTCATACATAAATTCCATGTCAATGGTGAGTTGCATACATAAATATAATAATTGTAAGTTCAGTCAGCTATTCATCTGCAAAAATAAAAAAAAATTAATTCTTGGCTTAATAGAGCCAGTTGTCGTTTCTCGATTACTTAAATGAGTTTTAAACAAGCTGATTTGGTTAATTAGTCAACAATCTTTCTCTGAATTTTCTAGAATTTAGTCAAACGCTATAATCGTGTCAGAAACATATTTCAAAGTTAAATACATTTATTATTTAAAAATTAGCTTTAAATAAAACCAATTTATTAATCAACAATTTCCTGAAAGTTTCAAAATTGTTTATTCTACTTTAAATTTTTCTTCAGCAACAGCTACAATTACTGGAATTGAACTTTGAGTGTATGCCCTTTACGTTATGGCCTTCGCCAAAAATCTCCATTGTGACACATTTACTCAAAAAAAAGATCACAGCGAAGTCAGATACAAATATTCATGGGTCTATATTGGGTACTTTTTTAAGGTCAATTTAAATTGAAAAATTATTATTTAACCTAGTTCAGCCTTTTTTTTCAATTTTTTTGTTGTTGTTGTTGCTTTTGGACACCAATGAGGCCAGGTGTGAATCAATGTGTTTATTTTCATCTGCGTGTTGGCAGGACTGAGTGACTATTATCAGGTGTCGAACTTTTCGGTTTAATGTAGCATTTCAAAGTGTCAACTAATAATTTAAAATTTATTTTTCAAATAGCTAAAGACAATATCTCACTGGAACAGACGATTAAGTAGTGTCCTATTATTTTGTTCAACGTTTTATGAAAAACTAGCAAGCAACGCCAAATGTTCATAATCTAACTATTATAACTATCTTTTCTCTATATTGGACAGCAAAACTTATTTCTTGGTATACACAAAAAGTCACAATCATGACTAGATATCGCGTGAAACCCGTAGCATTAAAATTTTATCAAGTTTATCTTTCAATCATATTAACTACGGCTAAATATATTTTATAACGTACATGCAATTTGCCAAGTACAATCATTGTTTTGTTTCCCAAGCCTCTCATGTATGCAAACTCGTGCTCTAATCCCCATAAATACTCTGAATTTCAAATTTTAACAATTAAAATAAAGCAACAAACTATCCTATTTATTATTGAAACATTTGCATATTTGTCTTCAAAGTTAGTAGAACTAAGGAATATGATGTATTGGGAAATGTAATTATGTGTTGTTCGTGTGGAAAACAACGTTTGCTTTGTAGTTTTTCCTATAACGTTGTTCTTTTTTCTCCTGCACGTGAAATGTTGTGTGCAGATTAGTATACTAAACCTAAAAGCCAAATATAACTTAAATATTATCCTTTATTTTTTTAGCTTCTTTTTCCCAGAGACCAGGAGGAAATTACACTTAGAGTCCAGCTTCTGGATAATCTGAAAACAGCATTACGTACACAACCAAACAGGTATTAAATGTACATTCGTAATAGCTGTGTTTTTGGTGTTGTTGTTCTGAATTGACAGAAATATTACGAACAAGCCTGCATCCACAAATAAATGCACAGGCATGCATTAAGATTTAGATGTCTATGTTTACATATAAATCTGTTGGAGATAGTCGAAAAACCTGATCACTGTTGCAGGAATCGATCAGTTGGGGATACAATGAACATTTATTAAATTTTTGACTGATTATGAAGGCAACAAATTATATTTTACCCCCAAATCACCAGTCAATAATTGTTTTATTCTGTCACAATATAGCAACCCATCATCATGTGATCATATCAATTAAAGTAAACAGTACACATCGCATAACTTTAGCACAAAATTTGCCTAGAATACTGGAGAGATTTCCGAAGTTGTTTGTAAATTAGCCCAAATGAATCAGTGTGTTTTCACTGTGTCTGCAAATTTCTGTTATCTAAACAACTCCGCAGCTCTTCATCTGTGAGTAATTAAAATCTAATCCCATGTGATATGTCTACATTAATTTTACAGGTTTGAGCAAATTGTTTGTAATTTGGCCTAAATGAATTAGCGTGTTTTCACCATGCTATTAAGAGTTGTTTGTAAAGTTCTGCTACGACGTATACATATATGGCAACGGCATCGACAACTGGGCAACATTGACGCAAGTTGTTATCCAGTTTTCAATGCAACATTTAAAAATGTTTCATACCACGTGATGCGCTCTCAGCCAATCACGACAGATAATTTATGCTAAGAGATAAAATAATGACGTTTATTGCATCTTAAAGGCAAGCCACAATTTACCAATTGGCAGACATATTACCTTGTAACTGCCACTGTTGATTGACTCCTGTGACAGAAGATGCTTTGAAAGAAATATTTCTTTGTTTAAGACTATTCTACTAGACAAGTGCCCACTGTCACATCCCATTGAAATTTAGATATATTTTGCTCATATTTAATCTTTTGTAGATTAACCATGATCGGTCTATATCGCTGTATTTATATGGCTAACAGTCGTCCGATTTTAAGTTTGATCTATGTACATAACTTGCTTCTAATCAGAACTTAATATGAATGATCAATATGTTGGCCATCTACAAATGAAAGGACTCGTATACATCACATTTCATAACTTCTTTGAAGGGGGCCCTTCCCCCCACCCCACCCCCAAAACACACATAAATAATATGTGTATGAAATATAGTTAAATGTAATTTTATGGAGTGGAAAGAAAAAAACTGCAGTCACAAAATAAACATCCAACACTGGCGCACGAATCATAAGGTGGGACATTATATAATGTTCCCTGGTTTTCGGAGATACTGGCGAAAGTAAAGCCCAAATTGCGTTGAAAATACACCGTCTATCCAGTTTAACCTCAACTTTAACGGCCTTACATGCTTAGAAGAAAGAAGAAAAAAACGGAGCAGATGTGGGTACTCTAGCCCACAATGCCCCACATCTTTGCCACTTTTCGCTGTCTACAGCCAGATGTGGGTACTCTAGCCCACAATGCCCCACATCTTTGCCACTTTTTCGCTGTCTACAGCCAGATGTGGGTACTCTAGCCCACAATGCCCCACATCTTTGCCACTTTTCGCTGTCTACAGCCAGATGTGGGTACTCTAGCCCACAATGCCCCACATATTTGCCACTTTTCGCTGTCTACAGCCAGATGTGGGAAAGTAGTTGCTCACAAAAATAATAAATATATAAAATAAAAACAATAAATAAAATAAAAATGGGTGTAGTTAATGTTTTCTTGCACAATCAACTCGTGGAGTCACCCTACGCCCCTGTTTTGAATACCACAATATAAGCTTACATTTCTATGATTGTGTACCGTGGTGCAGGTGTACATTTATTTGATTGCTTAACATAATACAGATGTACCTTTTGTCCGATTTGTAAAAAAAAGTTCGTGAACATTTTTGAAGGGGTATAGTATAGGTGCATATTTTTTAATTGTGTAGTGTAGTATAGTTTTACATTTCTGTGACTGTTTAGCGCAGTATAGGTGTATATGTGTTTCAGCTGTTTAGTATAATACAAATGCGTACGTTTCTTTGTTTGTTTAGCGTATACGTGTCTACTTGTTTTTCTTGTATGGTAGTACAGACGCACATTTCTTTCATTGAATAGTGTAGTACGTGTGTATCTTGTTTGATTGTGTATCTATTAAAAGTATAATTTTTTTTCAGCTTTGTAATGCGTTTTTTGGAGCAAGATGGGCTGGTATGCTTGTTGAATTTTCTCACGAACATGGAATACGACACATCGGAGAGTGCCATCCACACATCTGTGATCGGTTGCGTAAAGGCTTTGATGAACAACTCTGTAAGTTTGTTTACTAAATGCAAGTAACGCTGATGTGTTTTTGTCTTGCTCCAGTCACTGAAGTATTGGTTAAAACACATCTTTTTAAATTTGAGTATTACATTGTATTGTTACTGTATGGTAAGCGTATATCAAGAATTCTGCTGTATTGCTTAAAAAATAAAATTGTTCTTATAGTTCTAATTGTTAAAACCCGATGACCAGATGTGATCTTCTATTATCAACATTATTATTATTCAAAATATAAACAAAATAATTTTCATCGTTACTAATACACTTTGTTACTTAGCAAACCTTAGAGTAACTTTTGTGTTTGTATAGAAAACCTAACAATACTAATATGACTTTCAATTGTTAGTATATAATTAGTTAGTTTCAAACTTATCTATAGAACATCCACTTACCGCAGAGTAATAACCGGGTCAAATGTCTCTACTCTTTCTATCTTCAGACATCAACTGACGGTAGATGAACATTTCAACTAATTTTGTTATTTATACATTACCTCACGGCATAGTAGTGACGAGACGGTTTCTGAACCCCTTTCTTTACACACTAACTCGCAGGTGCCTCAACTCTTTCTTTATTGTCAACTCACGACAGAGCTGGAACTAAACAATGTATGAACTCTTTCTTCCTTACAACACTTCCCGGCAAAGCAAGAACTGGACAAATGCCTCAACTTTTTATTTGTTCTTAACATACCAACTCACGACAGAGTAAGAACTGGACAAATGCCTCAACTTTTTATTTGTTCTTAACATACCAACTCACGACAGAGTAAGAACTGGACAAATGCCTCAACTTTTTATTTGTTCTTAACACACCAACTCACGACAGAGTAAGAACTGGACAAATGACTCAACTCTTTCTTTGTTTAGATATCAATTCGCGACAGTTTATAAGGATAAATGTCTCAATTCTTTATTTCCCAGAGTGGAAGATCCCACGTTCTAGCCCACCCTGAAGCAATCAACACCATATCTCGGAGTCTTGCTACAGATAACATCAAGGCTAAAATCGCTGTGTTGGAAATTTTGGGGGCTGTTTGTTTGGTTCCCGGCGGTCATCGCAAAGTTTTAGAAGCAATGTTGTATTTTCAGAAGTTTGCGTACGAAAGAACGAGATTTCAGGTACGAATTAAAGTCTATTTAAACATATTATATGATAACTTTTAACTTGTTATATCCCACTTTATAACTTATCCCAGATTATAACTTAAGTTATTAGGGTATTATTTGATAAAACGTTTAATTTGGATACGCTTAAAGAAAAGTTACTCAAAATCAATTTCAGTTTTTGTTCAGAAATCATGCTTTTGTTCTTTCTTCAAAATCGTCTTATTAATTTTGTTCGATCTTTTAAATCAATTTCTTTTTAGATTGTACAAAATCAAACTTTTTTTGATAAACAAATTAATAATTAGTATTTATGCTATTAACATTTCAACTCAGCCTTTATGTTTAACTTTTTTGTTTGGATGCACCTTTAGTACAATGACATTTCTAACCACAAGGATTGGCCAACAGATGTATTGGGACAAAATTATTCAAACTAGTATTTGTAATCCCTAAATAATACACTTCGAAATCCAAAGTATAAGTTCTATAATATGAAATAATATAAAAAAATACTACTACTTATAAGTTATCTTTTTTTGATGTTTGTAGTTTTCAAACCACTGAAGTTATTGAGCAAATATTCGTAATATACGCAATTAACTAGATTTTTCATGATGTTTGTAATATTCTTATAATATTCTATATCATAAATTATTGAACTTACCAAAGTGTATGTATTTGAATTAACCCTGATTCTTGGTAGTACTGGTTATGCCATAGGAAAAGACCACCTGGCGGAATCCATGTTTAGTGGATCTGATGATCATCCTTATAAAGTTTAAACTTAAGCGGATATTTAAACAAAGTAACCTACATATGTATAATACATACATAGAGTGTTTCAAAGTATGTTATGTTTTCCATGTAAATGTTTTAAAAGGAATATATACTGACGTTCTTAGCAGCTCCCAAAAAGACAATCTAACTTTTTGAGTTCCTATTTAAGTATTTTTTTTAACTTGGAGGAAATTACTCTGGTATAACAAAATTGTCAAATTATTATTATTATTGTATAGGCAACAATTATTTCTAAGACTTTGTTGTTCGTGTATTCATAAGTTGCAAATTTCGATAGCTTAATGATTTTCAGAACCTAATTTGGCTATTGTTCTTAAATGTGTATTTCATAGTTATTTCCTACTTAAGTTAATTTCTTTATTTCATGTTAATCAAACTATAAATATTGCCATAATTATATCTATATTCAACATGTTTCGTGAAGTTTTAAATTGTTATTTTGAATTTATTTTTAATCCTGCAGTAAATATCCAATGTTCTTCAAACTTTAAAAATTCTAAACTTAGACCTAATTTCTGTATTACTTTTGTTGCATGATAGACTATAGTGAATGATTTGGATCGGAGTACTGGACTTTACAAGGAAAAAGTGGGACTAAATACAGCTATCATGTCTTTCATCAATGCCATTATCAACTACGGACCCGGACAAGATCACCTGGAGTTTCGTCTTCACCTGCGATACGAGTTTTTGATGCTGGGAATTCAGCCTGTCATTGATAAGCTACGCACTTATGAGAATGGGACTCTTGATAGGTTAGTTTTGTTCTGTAGAATTGATACTTTAAACCGTCGGTTCTTGGTGAAACTCCATAATTACAGAATTGAGGAAAAACAAGACCCAAATACACCATTTATTCACGACCACGGTTTCGCCAGAAAAGGCTTCATCAGCTACCTGACGATGAAGGTCGTGAATAAATGATGTATTTGTGAAACGTACAACTGTCTTGTTTTTCCTCAATTCTGGAGTTTTGTTGTTTCTAGGTTTATAGAACCAAAGGTTGTTTTAGCTCTTTCAACTTTTGTCATCGTCAACGGATTATTCTTGTCTCGTTCGTGAAGTTTTAAATTGTTATTTTGAATGTATTTTTAATCCTGCACTAATTATTCTGGTTATTTGTTTGTTGTGTACAACAATAACTAGCCACTTCATAAATTAAACCAACACCCTTTTTTTCACTCAGAATTCAGAAATAGCACTTACTTTTACCTAATGTTTCAGCTTCAAATAATTTTTAATTTTACCTCGAGTTTGGTGAGAACCAACCACTTTAAAAGTTTAAATAACAATTACCTACATAGCTTCGATTTAGTCTGGTAAAATACGTTTGTAGTAATACATTAAACAGTTGGAAAATCTCTAAATTAACGTGCTTAAGAATTGTTGTTGTTTTTCTACAAAATTAATTTTATATTCTTTCACCAACAAAAATCAGTTTGGAAAGTTTTAAAATTGAAGATAGCTACACAATATAAACCTCACGTGCCTAAACTTATAACAACTTGAAAATATATGACCAAGTGGAAATCTGAATTTTGGTTTTAGTCTTCTGATACTAGTAGAGTCTGTCATCTAAATGTTACAGCCACAATGTGGAATCGGTCATGCATGACTGTAGATTTATAGTCACTGATTGATTTCACCTCATATCTCTAACGTATATACAGTGTAAACTACTTTAAATCGATAGGAGTGTGCCTTCTCATCAGACTTTCTAAATCACTGTAGGACTTCATTAAGGACTCCACAGATTTTCCTGGTTAGTATTTTGGCTCAATTCTGTCGAGTGCGTTAGCATCAGAAATGAGATTCTTATTTTTGCTTCAGTGTAAGGGTGAAGAGCATGAACTGAAGTAGGGAGAGATTAATATCAGTCTGTAAGTTGGTGAATTATTAATTATAATTACAGTTTTATAATTAATATGACAAAGTAGAAGTAGTTGCCAACTCGGTTTAACCGTCCCCATAATAATATTACAAAACTTCTACTACATTTTAAAGCAATAATAGTAATTAATATTTATTTTAACTGTTGACACAAATGCTTTTCATAAAGAAGGTTTATTCGTGATGTTCGACAAACATGGGCTGAGTGCAACCTAGTGGTTAGCATGTTGGACTGTGGAACCATGGTTCGTACCCCATTACTATAAAAACAAAAAAATCGCGTTCTACACTTTGGGGCCGTGAGTACGTTATAAGAGTAACGGTCAGATGTCACTATTCAATAAGTCTATCACTTACATTAGGGATAACCAACGTAGATAACCCTTTGTTCGAAATCCAATAAACAGCAACAACAATCACCAAAAACATGTTTGAGACCATTACTATTTCTTGATGTAGGCCAAAAGTCGTAATGTTATATTATAGAAACATGTTAAAAGAGTAAAAAAGTTTACTTGTATGTTCTTGAATCTAACATAAAAAAATGGTTGTTATTAAAGGTTTTATTATTATTATAGCAAATGTGTCCAAAGTAATTTACCTAAAATCTCCAAAACCAACAATACAATAATTTTACTGCTATCTACATTTTTTGATTTGGTTTTAAAAAAATGGAAATTAATTTTATATTTTCTACCACTGACTGAGAGTTTTTAAGTTTCGAAAATGAATAATTTTACGCAAGAAAAAAAAATGCTACACTGCAAATTAATTTTTCAACAAGTAACTTTTTTTATTGCTAACAAAGCTTGATCAGTTCCCACTGTAATTAGAAAGATATTATTCGTTTTAACACTTTTTTTCAATAGTATTTTTCGTGTTTCAGGACAGCTTTTAACGCTACTGCTATTGTGGTAATGTAAAGAATAAATGTACAATAAATAAAAAAATAGTATTACCATGATAACTTCCTTATTAGCTGTTCATCTGCGAATTCATTTGAATTATTTATGTTCACCATGTTGTGTTTATCTTAAGTGATACAATGTGTTTGATATACATTGGTTTAATGACTTTGTTCTCCTGTTTTAACTTACAACACTTTTGGCCAATAAAATAATTCAAGAAGATTTTAACGAATCAAAATGTTATTACGTGAAAGTGAAAAATGTTCAGAAAGCCACATAGAAAGGAAACTTAAGCTAGTTAAAACTTTAAAAAAGAAATCGTGTAGCCATTTAATTTAGATGTTTTATAAAGTTGTAAGACGGTTAAAAATATTAATGAATTTATTTGCTTGTTTTTTCTAAATGCGACGATTTCTAAGTTCAACTCGTTCGTAAACAGTGTGGTTAAGATAAGTCGGAGGTTAAGATGAGTCAATTAGCACTGTGAGAGAACATGCTATAAAATAAACATCAGTTTGAACGTTGCTGTGCTCCCAGGAAGGATCGAACCTCGAATTTAAGTGTTATAAGCCCTCAGTCTTACCACTGAACTATCGGGGGGGGTCTCATTCAGTTTTATAAATATCAGTAGATTTATCTATAGGTTTCGATGGCACAAATATCTGTGTATGTGTGTAATTTTAACACTTATATATGATAAAGTGTTGTAGTGGGTTTCGCAAAAACATTTCGATGAATATTTTGTTTAAATTTTTTCGATAGGCATCTTAATATATTTGAGATGGTCCGAAACGATGATGAAAAAGAACTGGCTCGTAAATTTGATGTGGTAAGTGTATTGTTAACTGTTGGTAATTTATTCATATTCTATTTGTACGTATTTGTTATCTAGTGATCGGTATTAAACAGAAAATAAAAGTTCCATTGTAATAGCGTTAACTTCTCATTTAAAAAAGCTATACAGACAAATCGGAAAAAATCAAATAGGCAAAGAGTACAACTATTCAAATATACCGATCTTACGTTCCTACTTATAAAGATAATAATACATTGTTTTATCGGTTAGGTTTTCTCCCTGTTAGCAGTACTGTTTAATCAGTTAAGAATTATTGGAAAATACTCTAGAATATCGTTTAATTTTAAGCCTGAAACTTTTCAGTATTCATTACTTTACTTGTTTGTGAATTGATGTATAACGACAATTGAAAGTACGTTTTTATCTATGGAAATAATGTATGACGTTTTAATAGATGTGTGTGTGTACATAGCATAACGTTTCCAGTTTAATTATATTATTAGTTTTGAATATTTTAAATATTTGAAAGCTTTATCTACAGTGCTCGAACGATATAGAAAAGTAACCATAAAAAAAAAAGTCTCAGAACTGCAAGGTGCGGTTTTCAATGAAGCTGTATTAGCTGAAATTTCATTGACTGTAAATCTAATGTTATCGCATTATGAATTACAAAACTTTTTCTTTGTCATTATTAGGCTCATGTGGACACGAAAAGTGCGACAGGAGTATTTGAAGCATTAAAAGAAAAACTTGCTCGCACCGCCGCCTACCCACATTTCCTGTCTTTACTGACACATTGCCTTTTACTTCCAAGTAAGCATAGTAACTGTTGTCAAGATAAATTAATAGATGAACTACATTCTACGCAACCTCGCTAGTTTAAATCGTCATAAGATTTATCCCTAATTAAGTACAGAGGATTGAGTACGTTATATTATAATGGTTGTGGATCTTTACCACGTCGTTACGTCCAGTCGTGCTCTATCTGACGGCTGTACATCTTGACAATAGTCAACGCAATATCCATTGGAAGAGGCTCATTGTTGTCACGGCTGTGATTGTCACTTGACTTGCTGATTTTCATATTCAAAATCGTTTCAACATAACTTATTCTACCCTAAAACTAGACTGAAATATACTTGCGTTGAGCCATTTTCAGTCGGAGGTCGTGATAGTCTATTGTTTGAGGAGTTTTTAATTTGTTAATTTCTTCACCAAGTTAAGTCAAAGATAAATGTATTCGTATTAGATATACATGGTGTCTAAGTTATTTAAACCTACATTTTACCTTAAACATGTCATCATATCTTCATGTATTATTTAGTTTTTGGGGTGATGTGACGCCATATATATCTTTAGCTTAATTTACATTTTACCTTACATGGCGTCATACTGCTTTATTCAAGTTTTGGCTGCTGTGATGTCAATAAGGTTATCAACCGTTCGTAAATATTCGAATAGTTAGTAAAAAGGAAAGTAACGTCTTAACACTGTCTGTAAACCCATAAGTAGCAAACATTGCTTTCACATCATGATGTCAGTAAAAACAGGCCACTGTTTGTCTGTATTTTAGTAAAAACAAAACTGTAAGGACAGCAGTTTTGGACCTCATGCAGTTTGTGTATTTATTTAGGCTTTATCCATGTTTGTAAATAAAATATGTTTCGAGGTATCTGTTTGCTCGCTACCACAAGAAAAAAAGGGGAACATCTGTATTATAGAAAGCTAGAAAACTGTACTTTTTATACAGCTACTACTTAAATGTCATACCTACTGTAACCATAGTTCTAGTGGATGTACAAGTTAATGTATTATATCTTTACGTAATTACAGAAGTAAAAGGGATTTGACATATATACAAAACCCTTATAGTAAAATTGATTTTATGTATAAAATATTTATAGTTGGTTAAAATTTATTATAAACTAATAACTTGCTATTGATGTTTAATCTGTTGTTTTCTGAAGACCAGCTTTATTTCTGTATAGGCTGAAATGTTTCAAACGAAATGCTTAGTTTAACAAAAAAAAACAATTTAATAATTATTGTACTATTTATATTTGAATAATGCTTCATAACGAATAACTTTTTTTATGAAATGGTGAAAAACGTTACACAGATGACGATAATTGTGATTAGTGTTAGGCCTAAGGAATATTTTTCTGTACTCCCCCTCCCCCCTTTTAGTGGATTATGGTGCCTGGCCTCAACATTGGCTGCTGTGTGACCGGATTGTCCAGCAGATAGTCCTACAGGGTGATAATGGAATAGACCCAGATGTGTCCCATGTGGAAATCAACGTAAACGAAATAGTTAAGCTGTAAGCTTTATTAAAATCCATTAGTTTCAAATGAATAGAATCGTGTTCAAAACATAAAGTACAACCGTTTGGTTGAGAGTCTTAATAATTTCTGTAACCGTTTCACTTCATTTGCTGAACTTGTGACAATGTGTTTTAGGAGTTTTGTACTTAACATATTGAAGCCTTGTACTCTGTATTCTAATATGTTTTACTGTCATCTTTAAGAATTCTACATTTTATATACTGGATAAATTGCTATCGTTTTAACTAAATGCACACTATGTATTCTTACCTAGTGTGAACGTCATTTGGACACAGCCAAACGTTCCACAACTGTGTAGTGTTTAGTGGTTTTAAAACACCTTACAAAATAACTTTGTGAAGTTCACGATTATACTGATGAATGAGGTCTTATGTTTCCTGCCAAAAAATGTTAACTTAACGTTGATTCGGACAAAAATTTATGAACATTAAACTTCTTATAAAACGAACAAACTGTTATAATTTTTCGTTAGCTATAGTTATGTGGAGTATCAAAATATTATGGTAGAAAAAGTGTATTTTTAGGCCTTCAGTGAGTTTTATGTTGTAAATAACGACAGTTTGGCTATAGAAGAAGAAGTCCGTTCAGCGAAAGAGAGAGCTGAAGCTTTGGAAATAGAGAATTATGAGTTATTCCTAAAATGTTCGAAGAAGGAACAAGAAGTTGAACAACAGCTGCAAGAAAAGGTAGTTTTTTGCTTTTAGAGAAATTTTCTATTACTAGTTTACCCAATAGAATAATCAGATTTGGTTCAGAAATAAATAATGTTATCAGGCCTGTACGCACAATGTTTGAAAGGGGGTTTCTAATTTGTGAGATCGAAAGCCAATAGATATTGCGCAAAGCATACTAATCCTACGGGGTGGGGGGGAATATGCCTCCAGAAATTTTGTAAAAAAAAATAAAAACATATGTGCTATGATATTAAATCTGAAAGCAATTGAAATGTAAGTTAAACAATTACATGGCTATTCACATAAAATCCACAAACATCCAATTAAAAGTCAACAAATCATCATTCTGTTGTAGCACTGCATGGGTAGCTAAGACTTAAATTAGCAGAATATTTTAGATCATAAAAATAAGGGGTTCTGCGTACATATGTGGTTATTTATCTTTTATTAAACTTACTTACTCAGCATAGTTTTCTGTTAACGAGACCATTGTCGTGAGAACGGAGCACGAAACATAAAACGTTAATAACATTCAAGAACAAACTTTCCATAGGTCGCGGTCAACACCTTTTATTATGATGCATCATCCAAATCTCCTACCTAAAAAGGCGAAATTACTTTAGACAAAACCGAACTTTAAAATCAATATTAAGTTTTAAATTTATTACTCGTCTTTTGTAAAATACGAATATACACGTATCTACATTTTAGATAAGCATATATTGCTAAAACATAAGCTCCTCAAATCAGTTTTAATTTCATATCAGGTGTTAAACATTATAATTATATAAAACTAATATTGTCTACCTACTGACTAGGCCTAATCTGAATATCCATTTAATGGCTCATCTGGTTAACCCATTTCTGGATTATTTTGTATATTAAAAAAAACTAATTGTATTTCAGCGTAGTTTTGTAGTTCATCATTTTCATGGCTGAGAAAAACATTTAACTGTTTTATTTTAAACTTCTCAGATTAATTTTGGTAAGACTTTAATTTTGTATCTGAAGGGAATCATGTCTGTTTTGTTTGTACTTTCCATGATCTTTTGTGAAAAGATAAGTACGTGGTAGAACAACTAAGGAAAATTATTAACATTTGAAAACAATAAATACATGAAGATTTTTATAGTAATTTACCTTTACGTTTTAAGACTTTTAATATGTAATTCAGAATTCAAATAGAAACATTAATTAACACCTACTTATGTATCATAGAAGTAGCTGGAGAGAAGCTACTGGGTTTTAGTCCCCACCTCCGAACGTTCAGAGAAGATAATTGTTCTAGTTTTACTTGCTTTAAACATGTTCTCTCGGATCACAAAACAAGGTTATTAACCCTACTCTCCATTTCACCCTCACTATTGCATTGATTATACATATATATAATGTGTGTGTATGTATGTATAATGTATATTTCTCTCTTTTGACGTCATAGTTTTTATGTGCTAGTTTTGTTAAACAATTACTGTATGAAAAATATTTTGCTGAATAGATAACAGATACCATTCTTTATATAAAACGAGCTATTACAATTCAAATGTTTGTTAATTTCTCAGAGAATTATGAATAGGAAATAAAGGTCTATTTAAAATTTTTCTTTCACTTTACTGTGGAGATAATTCATGTCAATGCTGTTGCATTGTACATTGGTTAAATTAGGTTGGTCAGCTTGTTAAAATACCGTTAACGACGACAAGTTAGTTTGTCTGTCTGATAATACTACGACAATTCAACTTACAAAAAAAATAATCACGTAGTTTAAGACCTGAACATCAACTCAAAGAAATTTCACTTTATTCTTAAGAATATGTAAATTATGCTACATTTGACTAACTTTGTTTACTGTATATATTTGTAATTTGTTAGTCATATGATCTTTTAAGAGTTTTATCTTGTTTAAATCATCTTACTGTTGCAGAACTTTTTATAGTTTAATAAAGAAAGCGTTTATTTTGACTTGATTACATTTTCCAGTTCTTCACGATTCATTTCATTGCTATTTCATAGGAAGATCTTCAGGCAGTTGTAAAGAAGATGAACGTTAAACTAGAAAGAGAAACCGTTGGTCATATTCAGGCTTGTCAGAAGATAGAAGAATTAGAGTACAAATTAGAACAAATATCTCAAGAGGTAAATGTAAAAATCTTTATTAGATCTTGAAAGTTTTTTCACACAAATGCAACCCTTTTCGAGATAGGTATTTTTTTAAAGAAAGATTGATTTAAGTAGGCTTCGTAGTTTGCTTTTGTAATTTATCAATGGTATCAGTTACTATGTAAACACAAAAACTTAATCCTGTGTAAAGTTTAAAATCGTTATTTTGAGTAAACTTAATTGTATTTTAAAAAAGAATACAAAGTTAGGTAATAATACCTTAATTGACTTTGCGTATTTCCTAACTTCAATTTCAATCATGAGTTATAGTAGAATGAAATATTTTTATAAATTCATGAAATGACGCGCGGTTGGGATACGAAGTTGAACACTGCTGAGTGTCGTAGTTGTACTTTTTTCAAGTCATCATGGGTTCAAAACAACGATCTAGTTTTACTGAATCGTTAAACGGCGAAAACGGACATAGTTAAGAAAAATAAACTTTTTTTTTTCAGGAAATCCAAGGTTATTAATCTTGTATTTTTATAGTTCGAGTCGGAGCAACAACAGCAGCGCACCCAAGTGTCGAACTTGATTCATAACGGAAGTCTATCTGATGATACTAAAGTAGAGATTAGTGCTTCAAAATCTGCAGCTCCTCCTCCCCCTCCGCCACCCCCTTCAGTTGCATCTCACAGTTTAGGTGAGTGTGATAATCGAGACTTTTTTTACGATACGTTTAACGTCGCAAAATTGTTTAACTGTACTTGAGCGTTATATGAGTTACAACTGATAACATTACCTTTAGTAAAATTACATTAAGTATATGATCAAAATTTAAACCTTCACTGTTTGATAATTAACACGACAGCACAATAAAGTTAAATATATTAGTATTTTAGACATTGTTAAAAAGACAAACAATGAGTTACAAAGATTACATTATTTACTCTTAGAGTAGCTCATCACAAGGCTAAAGGATGGTGGGTAATATTTTTTATATTTGTTTTTTTTTTTGTGATCGGTGAATTTTTCCAAAAAATAAGTTTAAAATGTGTGTTATAAAACTTAGCCAAACTAATTTTAAATCATCAAAAATACACATACATATCCAACAATACCAACCAGTGCAGATTGATAGGTTATGAGCCATGATAACGTATTACAGAATCAAGTAAAACAGTTAAACTGACTGGTGTTTTGTTTTGTTTTCCCTTCACTTCATCTTTTTTATTTTTTGCTCTGTTGACTCGAGCTTATATCATTACTCTCAATCAGTTTACACTTAACTGGATTGTTGCGAATTGTTGTTGAAGGCAACAGAAAGAATTAAAGGAAAACAATTGTTAGGAAAGTCAAAAAGAGCTTTTTCAGAAAGGAATATATTTTTACAATAATATCAACCAAAAATGTTTTAATTTAAAGTCGAGGGCTTAGATGTTAAACCCTTAATAACTACGAGACAAGTTTTCACAATTTATTAGACTCTTTTACGGTGGTTGCGGCTATAAGGTAGGATTTGTTGCCATGTTTAATTAATAATCTGAACACTAAGTCTGCTACGTCTTGAAATAACTATCACCACCATAAACACAGTCCTCATATATTTCCTCAAGGCGACAGCAAGTGGAAATCCTCAATACCCGCAGTACTTGAAATTCTTTAAGGCAAGATTAGAGTAAATTAATCTATGAAACTTTTTATTCCTTTTTATTATCCATATTTTGTGCGCCAGCAATACCAAGCGTGGGGAGTGCGTATACCCGATTTGATTTTATTATTCATTAGGATTTTTACCAGACTACCCTCAAATATAAATTCTTTTTGGCAGTATTGAGTAAATTAATCTACGAGACCTTAGGCATGGTCAAATGCATCAATCAAAAGTGTTTATTTTTATCACTTAACACGTAAGAGTCCCCCCCCCCGAACAGACTTTCACGCTTTATCAAATGAGGCGCTACTCAAACAGTAAAACAAATCTTGTTTAAGCTATGTAACAAATATACTCCTTTCGCTATTAATAGACATCATTACCTTAGAATAGGAATGTAGATGGCTTAATTACTATTTATTACAGCCTTAAAAGTAGGTGTACCTGCAAGAAATAAACACCGAAAAAGGAAACCCATGGTCACGTGTCTAGGTTCTAGATAGAGAGTACTGAAACGTGTGTCAAATAGTAACAAAACCTGGATTTGATAAATATGCCTTTTTTACTGCTTCTCAACAGTGCATTTTTTGATTATGTCTGATAGATGAAATATCCCCAACACTTCAGGGTGATCTGACTGCAGGCATTTTCTTTTACAAATTACACCTTTTATACTTTGTTGACAAATGGCATTATTTTTAAATATTTTAATTTAATTGTCATGTATGAAATTTATAACGTTGAAATTTGCTATGAATATTGGTTTATTTTGGGTGCAACACTAAACATCTTGATCTTAGTTTACACGATTTTCCATCAATCATATGTAGTGCTGATTTAAACGCCTATATACAATTGATAGTATTAGACTTTATTTATTTGTGTGCATTATAAATACACTGTACATTACAAAAACACGAAACTTTTTCTCTCTGAGCCTTACAAGTATATAATTCCCTTAATGCTACACATAAATTAAATTATGTCATGCTAAAGATAAAAAACTTAATTTAAAGTTGTATTTATATTTCCAGGTGGACCCCCTCCTCCTCCACCACTTCTTTCTTGTAGAGCTAACAATGTTAAACCGTATACACCAATTAAAAAGAATATTCCTTTATCATCAAATCCTCTGAAGTCCTTCAATTGGTCCAAACTTCACGAGGTAAGAATAACTAAACCTGAAATTTACTACATTATGTTAGATTATTCACAATTAACATTTACATTTTGCTTTAGATGTTTAGTGTTCATTAAAAGATTTAATTTTTTTGTGAAATACTATGGGTGATTCAAAATCTTTATCTCAAAAATTTCTTGTTAAACTTTATTCGACGAACCAAAAATTGTGTGTCAGATATCTTCCATTCAAGGTTATTTATATATCGTGCTTTATAATTGGAAAATAATGAAAAATTTGTTTGTATTTAAATGAGAAATTTTTAATGTCTGACAAATAAATTGTTTTTTTAAGAAAATTAGATGTCTAAAATATAGAATAGGAACCCATTTTATATGATACAAAAGTAATTTAGATATTATTAGAACATAAACGTAGTCGTTAAATAATTTCGTTATACTCTAAAGTTTGCAATGCTTCCGATAGGTGGCTATTAGTTTGTCATTCCTGTTTTGTTTTTTTACTTCGATACTTAATGAAATGCGTCAGATTATATTTTTTTATCGGTTTTGTACTTTCATTCAACTATTAATTTATATACCTTATTTTAATAGCATCACTATAAACTTCATTAATTCCAGCCATATGGTGGCTACAAGACGTGGCATGGCCAGGTGGTTAGGGCACTCGACTCGCAATCTGCGGGTTCGATTCCCCGTCCCACCAGACATGCTCGCCCTTTCAGCCGTGGGGGCGTTATAATGAGACGGTCAATTCTACTATTCGTTGGTAAAAGAGTAACCCAAGAGTTGGCGGTAGGTGGTGATGTCTTCCCTTTAGTCTTGCACTAAATTAGGGACGACTAGCGCAGACAGCCCTCGTTTGGCTTTGCGCGAAATTCAAAACAAACAAACAATGGTGGCTACAAAGTTTGCTGTTAAAATATTATGGCAGTTTTGTCTTTTACGAAAAAATTTGCTGCTTCTTTCTTGAAAAAGGAAGTGTTTTAAGATGCCAACTAACCAAACCATGCTTTATATTTCTATTATTAAAAAATATTAATAAAGAATATTGTTGTTTAAACTATTCACTATATTTGGGATTAAAAAATCATGCTAATTATATATGTTTTTTTCTCACATTCCTCTTAGTTTCTCCATTTGCGAATTCAAAATGAAAGACGTGTAAAAATAGCATTTCAGATCTACTTTTTGTTCCCTCTCCCGCATATCACTGCCTTAGAGGACTGTCGTTCAATGCCAGAACTTCTCAGTTGAGACGAACTATGAGAGATAAAATATTCTATGAAACGCTATTTATATAGTACAAGTCTTTAGACATCTGCAGTTAACGTAATTTTTATCATAAAATTTAGCCTATTGGTTTCTAATGCCTCGTCATCTTTAAATTGTAACATTTATTTTTCGTATTTATTTATGACTTTTATATTATTTTCTGCAGTGGCTCACGAGATCATCACGTGATTTTGTTGAACTTTCGTTTCGGTTATTCATAGTGTTTTAAAATTATACTGTTTTACAAAAAATTGAGACATTGCATAAATGAGAAATTGGCGAGTATTTTGTGCAAATACGTTTTAATCCAAATTTTCATTGTATAAGTCACAAAATGAAAGTAGTAAACAGTTCAGACTTCTCATTAAAGTGAGATAAAATGCTCATCGCAATTTATACGGCCCCGTTGATATTGCTACGTTTTATTTGTAATGAAAAATAAGAAAAGCAGTAACGTTTATTAAAGCATTTTACACGAAATACATCTGGTTAGTCTACAATTTGAATGGGCGTGTTGTTTTTTTCCGCCAGAATAAGCTAGAAGGGACAGTGTGGATGGAATTGGATGATACAAAACTCTACAAAGATATTGATTTGAATGAAATGGATAAAATGTTTTCTGCTTACCAAAAACAACAGGTAAGATTACTGATTACAATATTATCTATGACATCTAGGGTCAATTAGAGGGGGGGGGGCATTTGGCCCGGGCCTAAAGCTCAAAGGAGACCTCAAGTTTAAATAATTGTTTTTTGGTTTTTTTTTAATTTGTTGAGTTTCGCGACTTATTTTTATCTGCCTTCTAATCGGACCAAAATGTAATACACTCTCAGCTTAGAACTGCAAATTAAATATTCAAATTATGTTTCGCTTTTCTTTTAGGCTAATGATTGTCTTATTTTGTTTTCATGTGTCATCATTTTTTACTCTTATTATAGCCAGAGACCTCAAAAGATATAAGTGACCCAGGCTTCTTTGAGCCTCTGAGAGGGCCTAATGACATCTTAAGTCAGGCCTTGGCGCATTTATCATGAAAAGACGACAGTATAACACAATGTCTGGTTCAAAAAATAGTTTCAGTACAACTTTAAATGAAATAACTAAGTTCTGAATTTTTAGACGAAGTTATTGATTGGTATTGAAAAACTGTTATTCTGATACTATTAAATAGCATATTTCCCGTTTTCACAGTGTAATGACAGCGTCGAAGATCTAACATCAGTGACGTCACGAATGACACCTCGATCGAGGGAATTCTCTGTGATCGACGGCCGGAGAGCCCAAAATTGCACGATACTCTTGTCTAAGTTAAGACTTTCGAATGAAGACATCTGTAAAATGATTTTAGATATGGACCACAAAGACCAGTTACCTAAAGATATGTTGGAACAGGTAAAACTGGAACAGCTGTACTGTTTGTTCAAATGTCGTATTATCCTTGCTGCATATTTGTTCACTCTTTAACTGTATATGGAATAAAAACGGCGTAGTTAATCTAAATATAATACCTATCTTATGAAACTGTTTTATAATTTTGTTATAAAGTGTGCTTACCTAGTTTATGATAGAAATAATGAGGTACTGCTTCAATTTGCAGACCGTCATAGTTACAAGGTTTATATACAAATTATCGTAATTTCTTTTAACAATTAACAGGTGTCTCTTAAAATTTGAAAATAATATTTTGATAGATAAGCTGTAGATTGAAAAATTACATTAGTATCTTTAAATAGGTATATATTAATAAAATTGGTCTTTTGGATAAACAGTAGAACAACTCCAGTAATGATGGTAAACAGCTCCAGTAATGATGGTAAACGGTAGTAGAACAGCTCCAGTAATGATGGGAAACAGCTCCAGTAATGATGGTAAACAGCTCCAGTAATGATGGTAAACAGTAGTAGAACA